TGGAATTTGAAGTTCTTATTATGTAAAAACGCTACTAGCAAAATATTGTCAATATATGTCCATGTTTTGGCCCCTATTTAAAGAATTCTCCCTGAATTTGTTATTGCGAGAGTTTTGTTCATAGTTTTCAATTAATTTTCTAAAAATTTGTATTTTTTAATTAAAAATAATAAATTTTTTTTGACAAAAATAAAAAAAAAATTGCTAAACCAAATCAGCTTTTCTATCTCTCAAAACAAAATTATTTAATATAATTTATTTGCATATTGAAATGTTTTAGTAAATCAAATAATATCTAGTTGAAATGTGTAATTCATTCACAACAAGCACCTGAATCATATGTCACGCTCTGTTGGAATAGATAAGTCGAACAAATTACAAATCGTATTATAACGTTTGTATGTCACCTGGCCAATTTCGCTCTAATAAAGCTTCAATTGGCTATGTTATATGGCGTAACACATTCATTACGAATGTATCACTCTCTACCTCTCTCCGATGGAAGTATGTCAAACAGCAAAGCCGGGGTTCGTTGAATTGAAGATATCTGTTTTTGAAATGAAATTAAATTAATTTCATCTCTCCAAATTTACAACAGTCAATGATTAGAAAAAACTGATTTATACAATTTAAAAAAAAAATGTATATTTTGCATAAAAAATGTTTTTTTAAAAGTCCAGGTTTTGTTATCAGCCATAAAAAGTAATTTTTAAAAATCAAATAAAAAGGTGTCGGTCGGTCGGCAGATGTATACTCTCTCTCAATTCATTAATCCTCCTCCACAAAATTTATTATATTTACAACAAAGCCTTAAAATGCTCACTCATTTTAAATTCACCCATCCATCCAGACACATATAATTTATAACGCTGTTTATTTCCCCATAAACGATGTTATGAGACTACTGGATTTACCCATTGACCAAATCACTGCAGCACGACTGGAGAATATCGGCTGTAATTAAATGTTTATAAACAGCATCAAGATAAGGCATAAATTTCAATATGATAATTGGGGGCGAATGAATGAAGATACCCGATTTTCGGGAGAAAAATACGTGACTACAACAAAGGCACACCAAAAGTAAAGTTTATATCACAGACAGATCGTGAGACATGTTAAAACAATTTGGTTTTCAGTAAAAAAAAAAGAAATATTTACATTTTAATCGAAATTTGGTTGTTGTTATTTTTGTATAATAACAATGGAGTTGAGATAAAAAAGTATTTATGAAGAATTCATGTTTACAAAAAAGTAACGTTTTATAGCTATGATGTACATTATTCTAAAAAATCGGCGAAAATCGTTTCTTATATTCCTATAAAAATAAATACGTCATAAAAAAAACTTTAAATTTAAATTATTTACAAGTATTAGTAAAAATTCATGTTTGGTCGTTGAAAATTTTATTAAAAATATTGAAGTTCATAGCTGGGGTAAAGTTAAAAAATTAAAAAAAAAAATCTTTTTAATATTACTTTTAATTCTTTAAATTTTTTTTTAACAAAAAAAACTGTAATTTCGACCGGGCTTCGAATACTCACCACCATTTGGAACGAATTTGACAATTCTCAAAACCAATAAAATCCGTTACAAATTCTGTTAAAACGGGTCAAGGTTTAAACGACGACATAGACCTGGATACATTACAATATTCAAATGCGAAACTTAAAAAAAATCGGTGAATAATGTCAACGAAAATCATCAAAATACCGAATATCAAGAAGTACCGTTACATGGGGGCTATACGAAGACGTGGACTTGCAAAAACAATTTTCTGTCATGGGCAAATTTGAAACAATTTCGGTGAATAGTGTCGCTAAAATCAACAAAGTACCGAATATCGGGAGTTACTCTTGTATGGGGACTGTACGAAGTAGTGGACCTGCACAGACAATTTTCTGTCTTAGGTTGTAGAATTCGAATTCCATTTCGAACTTCAAATACCAAATTTGAAACAATTCCGGTGGATAATGTCGCTAAAATCATCAAAATACCGAATATCGGGAGGTACCGTTACATGGGGGTTATACCAAAACGTGGACCTACATGGCCCATTTTCAATACCAAAAGTCCTGCGGACATAATATACATTTGAGTAATATTTTATCAATCTTCTTCATTTCGTTCGGAAGCTAGAGTGATTTCCACATACTGAGAGACGGACGGACATCGCTAAAACAATCCAGATTTATTGCTACAATGGTTTTTAAAAACCTTAAAAAAATCTAATTAATAAATAAATATTATCCGATGGCCTTTCAAAGTTCTAAGCATCTGCCTTGTCCTAAACTTCAATCTTATGCCAAATTCTATGTAGGTTAGACCTGTAAAGCAACTGAAAAATCAGAAAAACTTTCTGTTTTGCCCCATTTCAATTCCTAAGTATTTTGCGATCATATCCCAAAATAAGGGATTTGTAGGGGCGTCCGTCCGTCCGTTTACATGCTTGGAGCGCAAGATAACTTTCGAAGAGAGAATCTGATTTTGGTCCAAACACAAATAACAAATTCCGGCTTTTGCGCTTATTTCGTTGACGAATATAGCCAAATATCTAAATTTGGAGATACAAAGGGGCCTCTTACATTTGGAGACGATCGTAAAATGTTTAGGGGTTCAAATGAACCAAAAATAGAAAATTTTTCCTGATGACACAATTGAAACCAATCAACATGGAAGAAATTTAGCATTTTGGATGACCATTGGATTATATTTAGCTGTAAAATGGACAACAACAACTAACAGCACGATGGAGTGCGTACATATTGGGCAAATGTCCTAGTCAAAATGCTAAGGGTAATATCTATGCAGTGCTCCGTGACATAATTGCAAAAGCGAAATTAGATCGAATTCGGAAATGTGTTATATCGCTCAACTATTACTGGTACCTCTCCTACAAAAGGTCAAAACTGCAAAATAAAATAACTTACTTTATAGAACAATCAATCACTCAATTTTGTGCATACTTTGCAAATCGTAATTGTTTTTAAGTCCTGGAAAATGTGCGAAAATAAACAATATCGGTCCACCTCATCAAGTATCTCCCCCATAAAAGGTCAAAATTTTGGAAAAATTATATATCCATTAAATGCAAAAAAAAACACCGATCCTCCTCAAATTTCACTCATCCCAATATTTCCACTAAGATCTGATAAGAAGACGACAGTTATCGGCACAGGATTTGTTTTAAATATTGAACATCCGAATATTTTTATCAATTTAGATTTCAAAATTTTCCAAAAATAATCACATAGTTCATATAAAGTGTCCAAAAAGTCCAAATCCAGTACGTTGACTAAGTGTACACGTCTGTCGGCACAACCGACAGATACTTTTTAATTTGTTTTAAACGTGGAATTTTTCATATATATTTTTTAAAAATCACCCGAGTTATTTACTCGGATATTTTATATTTTTTCAAGAATCATTCAATTTTAAACACGGATTTTTTGTTTTTGACATATTTATTATATGCTTGGATATTTTTTATTTCTTCAAAGCAAATTCGGGGAAAATCTACAGGGATATAACTTCATTCAAATTGCGGATTGTAAAAATTCCTAAAGTGCGATTCTTAAAAAAAAATCCGAAAAATCTCAATTTATAAAGAGGATAGACATAAAAAATAGTTTTAAAATCCACATTTTTAACTCGGAGAGTTATTACAAAAATTCAGGGTTTGTCTTCGAAAAAAATTTGTTCAATAGACATATTAACCTGAGAATGATCTTAAAAAAACTATTTAAAAACCCATGTTTATAGCACTATACGATATCTTGCACCTATATAGAAAAATCTCATCTAGGGGTAAAGTACTCACAAAGAACTCCTTGTATGGATTTTCAGACAATTTCCTTGAAAAAATGTGGCTAAATTCATTAAAGTACCGAATATCGGGGGGGCCGTTGTATGGAGGCTATACGATATCGTGGACCTATATAAACAATTCTCTTCCAGAGGGTAAAGTACTCACAAAGAACTCCTTGTATGGATTTTCACAGATTTCTATTGGACAAATCTGGCTTAAATCATTAAAATACCGAATATCGGGGGTTAGCCTTATATGGAGGCTATGCGATATCGTGGAGCGATATGGCCCGAACTACACATTCCTGCAGACAAAAGACTGATCTGTGCAAAATTTTAGCGTGATTACAATAGACGGACGGGCAGGGCTAAATAGCCTTAGAATTTTACGCTGATCAAAAATATTGCTTTGTTACGTCTAAAATGATTATTTCGATGAGAATTACGGACTTCATATAGTCTTAAGTTATTTTAAAGGCATATTATACATAAATTCAAAAAATTTTAGAAAAAAAAATAATTATAAAATTAAAATGTTTTTTTTTTAAATTATTCTGTCAATACATAATCTTAAAAATAAAAGTTTAGAATGCACGCTTATAGTTCGTATGGTAGAAAAACATTTTTTAAGAAGTTGTCTTAGGAGTATTTTTAATTAAAAAAATAGGAAAAAATATTGACAAAAATTATATATAAAGAAAATATTTTTTATTCATTGAAAAAAATAATAATACAAGCTATTAAAACAAAATATTTCTAAAAATCCTCGTTTATCGCTCTGTTGGTTGTGGAGAAAATACTTTTGAAAATACCCACATTTATAGCTCCGATATTATTTAAAAATGTTCTTAAAAATATCCTTAAAACCATTTAATTTCGTTTTCACAAAAATTCTCACAGTCCATCTTAATATGTGTCTCTTATTCTTTGTTTAATTTAATTACTTTTGTTTTCATTCAATTCGATCAATTCGTAATTAATGGCCGGTCATACTGAGAAGAAGCGACGACAAGGCACATACACACACACACACCGCACAACCTTTGTCAAGGCAATTTCAAATCATTGTTTAACCAAAAATAAATATTGAATTTGTTTTGCGTTTTTTTTTTTTCTGGCAACAACAACATCAATAACATTCTACACAAAATTATTTACAACAACAAAATCTAAAAATAAAACAATTCACACACTTTTTTATTTATTCTTCTTCGTCTTCTTTTGATTAGCTAGCTGCTGATGAATAATATGTGAACTCTTTTGCTGTGGGATTTCTGCTTCGCCCGACTTCTCGCACCACAAACGCACACACGCACTTGCCACAAAAAAAAATCACAATTTTTGTCACTTGTGTCTGTCTGTCTGTATCGATAAAGATCGGAACGTTTTGAATAATCTATCTACAACATATAGGTGAGATGTCGTGAATCATGCACAACCAACCGCGGCGCTATGATCGTTTTATGGAAATTCGTTTTCGAACTAAACCATTGCGTACGAATTCATTTGGTTTTATACCGATGAGGAAAAAATTTTCAAAACCATATTTTTTCTTTTGTTTATATTCGAAATAGTCTTAATTTGGGGGAGACGACATGTCGCATAGACCAATGAGAGTAAAAATTTAGTGTGTGTGTGCGAGTATTCTGCAGTGATCTCTGTGATCTGCAGAATTCTCTGATTTTTTTTTTTAGTTCTTCTCTGAGTCTGACCATCCATGGACCACGCAGCGATGCTGTTTGATTCATACAAACAATGCAAATGGGAAATATATATATTTTTTTGTTTGATTTCCCCATAAAATTATTCATCATTTGCGGGATGTAAACAAAAGCAATGAAGACCACATAAATGAGGAAGAATATAAATACCAAAAACGTGTGGGTAATGGTCGAATAAAAATTAACCTACGGAAGGGTTAATAAAATGATTTTAAGTGGATTTTCAAGAAAATATTTAAAAGGACAGTGGCTTTTTAGAGAATATTTTTTCAAGGACCAAGAGACCAATGAACTTGGATTTTTAAAGAATATTTTTTCAAGGACCAAGAGACCGATAAACGTGGATTTTTTAAAAATATTTTTTTTTCAAGGACCAAAGACCAATAAACGTGGATTTTTAAAGAATATTTTTTTTCAAGGACCAAAGACCAATAAACGTGGATTTTTAAAGAATATTTTTTTTTTTCAAGGACCAAAGACCAATAAACTTGGATTTTTAAAGAATATTTTTTTCAAGGACCAAAGACCAATAAACGTGGATTTTTAAAGAATATTTTTTCAAGGACCAATAAACGTGGATTTTTAAAGAATATTTTTTCAGGGACCAATAAACGTGGATTTTTAAAGAATATTTTTTCAAGGACCAATAAAAGTGGATTTTTAAAGAATATGTTTTCAAGGACCAATAAACGTGGATTTTTAAAGAATATTTTTTCAAGGATCAATAAACGTGGATTTTTAAAGAATATGTTTTCAAGGACCAATAAACGTGGATTTTTAAAGAATATTTTTTCAAGGATCAATAAACGTGGATTTTTAAAGAATATGTTTTCAAGGACCAATAAACGTGGATTTTTAAAGAATATTTTTTCAAGGACCAAGAGACCGATAAACTTGGATTTTTTAAAAATATTTTTTTTTCAAGGACCAAAGACCAATAAACGTGGATTTTTAAAGAATATTTTTTTTCAAGGACCAAAGACCAATAAACGTGGATTTTTAAAGAATATTTTTTTTTCAAGGACCAAAGACCAATAAACTTGGATTTTTAAAGAATATTTTTTTCAAGGACCAAAGACCAATAAACGTGGATTTTTAAAGAATATTTTTTTTCAAGGACCAAAGACCAATAAACGTGGATTTTTAAAGAATATTTTTTTTCAAGGACCAAAGACCAATAAACTTGGATTTTTAAAGAATATTTTTTCAAGGACCAAGAGACCGATAAACGTGGATTTTTTAAAAATATTTTTTTTCAAGGACCAAAGACCAATAAACGTGGATTTTTAAAGAATATTTTTTTTCAAGGACCAAAGACCAATAAACGTGGATTTTTAAAGAATATTTTTTTTCAAGGACCAAAGACCAATAAACTTGGATTTTTAAAGAATATTTTTTTCAAGGACTAAAGACCAATAAACGTGGATTTTAAAGAATATTTTTTTTCAAGGACCAAAGACCAATAAACGTGGATTTTTAAAGAATATTTTTTTTTCAAGGACCAAAGACCAATAAACTTGGATTTTTAAAGAATATTTTTTTCAAGGACCAAAGACCAATAAACGTGGATTTTTAAAGAATATTTTTTTTCAAAGACCAAAGACCAATAAACGTGGATTTTTAAAGAATATATTTTTTTCAAGGACCAAAGACCAATAAACTTGGATTTTTAAAGAATATTTTTTTCAAGGACCAAAGACCAATAAACGTGGATTTTTAAAGAATATTTTTTTTCAAGGACCAAAGACCAATAAACGTGGATTTTTAAAAAATATTCTTTCAAGGACCAATAAAAGTGGATTTTTAAAGAATATTTTTTTTCAAGGACCAAAGACCAATAAACGTGGATTTTTAAAGAATATTTTTTTTCAAGGACCAAAGACCAATAAACGTGGATTTTTAAAGAATATTTTTTCAAGGATCAATAAACGTGGATTTTTAAAGAATATTTTTTTTCAAGGACCAAAGACCAATAAACGTGGATTTTTAAAGAATATTTTTTCAAGGACCAATAAACGTGGATTTTTAAAGAATATTTTTTCAGGGACCAATAAACGTGGATTTTTAAAGAATATTTTTTCAAGGACCAATAAAAGTGGATTTTTAAAGAATATGTTTTCAAGGACCAATAAACGTGGATTTTTAAAGAATATTTTTTCAAGGATCAATAAACGTGGATTTTTAAAGAATATTTTTTCAAGGATCAATAAACGTGGATTTTTAAAGAAAATTTGTTCAAGGACCAATAAACTTGGATTTTTAAAGAATATTTCTTCAAGGACCAATAAACTTGGATTTATAAGGAAGATTTCTTCAAGGACCAATAAACTTGGATTTTTAAAGAATATTTCTTCAAGGACCAATAAACTTGGATTTTTAAAGAATATTTCTTCAAGGACCAATAAACTTGGATTTTTAAAGAATATTTCTTCAAGGACCAATAAACGTGGATTTTTAAAGAAAATTTGTTCAAGGACCAATAAACTTGGATTTTTAAAGAATATTTCTTCAAGCACCAATAAACGTGGATTTTTAAAGAATATTTTTACAAGGATCAATAAACGTGGATTTTTAAAGAATATTCTTTCAAGGACCAATAAACGTGGATTTTTAAGGAATATTTTTTCAAGGATCAATAAACGTGGATTTTTAAAGAATACTTTTCAAGGATCAATAAACGTGGATTTTTAAAGAATATTCTTTCAAGGACTAATAAATGTGGATTTTTAAAGAATATTCTTTCAAGGGCCAATAAACGTGGATTTTTAAAGAATATCTTTTCAAGGACCAATAAACGTGGATTTTTAAAGAATATCTTTTCAAGGACCAATAAACGTGGATTTTTAAAGAATATCTATTCAAGGACCAATAAACGTGGATTTTTAAAGAATATTTTTTCAAGGACCAATAAACGTGGATTTTTAAAGAATATTTTTTCAAGGACCAATAAACGTGGATTTTTAAAGAATATTTTTTCAAGGACCAATAAACGTGGATTTTTAAAGAATATTTTTTCATGGACCAATAAACGTGGATTTTTAAAGAATATTTTTTCATGGACCAATAAATGTGGATTTTTAAAGAATATTTTTTCAAGGACCAATAAACATGGATTTTTAAAGAATATTTTTTCAAGGACCAATAATCATGGATTTTTAAAGAATATGTTTTCAAGGACCAATAAACGTGGATTTTTAAAGAATATTTTTTCAAGGATCAATAAACGTGGATTTTTAAAGAATATTTTTTCAAGGATCAATAAACGTGGATTTTTAAAGAAAATTTGTTCAAGGACCAATAAACTTGGATTTTTAAAGAATATTTCTTCAAGGACCAATAAACTTGGATTTATAAGGAAGATTTCTTCAAGGACCAATAAACTTGGATTTTTAAAGAATATTTCTTCAAGGACCAATAAACTTGGATTTTTAAAGAATATTTCTTCAAGGACCAATAAACTTGGATTTTTAAAGAATATTTCTTCAAGGACCAATAAACGTGGATTTTTAAAGAAAATTTGTTCAAGGACCAATAAACTTGGATTTTTAAAGAATATTTCTTCAAGGACCAATAAACGTGGATTTTTAAAGAATATTTTTACAAGGATCAATAAACGTGGATTTTTAAAGAATATTCTTTCAAGGACCAATAAACGTGGATTTTTAAGGAATATTTTTTCAAGGATCAATAAACGTGGATTTTTAAAGAATACTTTTCAAGGATCAATAAACGTGGATTTTTAAAGAATACTTTTCAAGGATCAATAAACGTGGATTTTTAAAGAATATTCTTTCAAGGACTAATAAATGTGGATTTTTAAAGAATATTCTTTCAAGGGCCAATAAACGTGGATTTTTAAAGAATATCTTTTCAAGGACCAATAAACGTGGATTTTTAAAGAATATCTTTTCAAGGACCAATAAACGTGGATTTTTAAAGAATATCTATTCAAGGACCAATAAACGTGGATTTTTAAAGAATATTTTTTCAAGGACCAATAAACGTGGATTTTTAAAGAATATTTTTTCATGGACCAATAAATGTGGATTTTTAAAGAATATTTTTTCAAGGACCAATAAACATGGATTTTTAAAGAATATTTTTTCAAGGACCAATAATCATGGATTTTTAAGAATATTTTTTTAAGGACCAATAAACATGGATTTTTAAAGAATATTTTTTTAAGGACCAATAAACATGGATTTTTAAAAAATATTTTTTTCAAAGATCAATAAACGTGGATTTTTAAAGAATATTTTTTCAAGGATCAATAAACGTGGATTTTTAAAGAATATTTTTTCAAGGATCAATAAACGTGGATTTTTAAAGAATATTTTTTCAAGGATCAATAAACGTGATTTTTAAAGGATATTTTTTCAAGGATCAATAAACGTGATTTTTAAAGGATATTTTTTCAAGGATCAATAAACGTGGATTTTTAAAGAATATTTTTCAAGGATCAATAAACGTGGATTTTTAAAGAATATTTTTTCAAGGATCAATAAACGTGGATTTTTAAAGAATATTTTTTCAAGGATCAATAAACGTGGATTTTTAAAGAATATTTTTTCAAGGATCAATAAACGTGGATTTTTAAAGAATATTTTTTCAAGGATCAATAAACGTGGATTTTTAAAGAATATTTTTTCAAGGATCAATAAACGTGGATTTTTAAAGAATATTTTTTCAAGGATCAATAAACGTGGATTTTTAGAGAATATTTTTTCAAGGATCAATAAACGTGGATTTTTA